TTAATTTATATATATTATTATATTATATATATTATTATATTATTATTATATTATATTATATTTATATTATCTTATATTATATTATATTATATTATATTATATTATATTATATTATATTATATTATATTATATTATATTATATTATATTATATTATCTTATATTATATTATATTCAAATCAATTGTTGTGTGTTTTTTAGTGTTAGCGTAAGGCGTTGTGGGTCAATGGTTCTTATTAAATCATATCCCAATCTGATCCGGTTAATATAATTTAAAAAAATTACTTTACACCAAATTCCGCCACACCTTTCATATAGCATTGAAATTGGTGCGTCAAATATGTGAAATCGGCCGATAATATATATATGGAGCTATATCCAAATCTTAACTAATTCCATTAATTTGTCACATTTATTATTGTAACCAAATTCCGCCACACATTTGAATTTCATTGGTATCGGTCATATATATCATGTTTGGTGCATAACATGTATGAAATCGGTCGAAATATATATGTTAGCTATATCCAAACCTCAACTGATTTTATATAATTTGGCAATTTTTTCTGGTGCCAGATTTTGTCTCTCTCGGCTTTGGGTGCATCAAATATGTGAAATCGGCTGAGTATATATATGGGAGCTATAATCAAATCTGAGCGTATTTGAATATAATTTGTCAAATTTATTTTTGTACCAAATTTAGCCACTCATGCCGAAATATGTGAAATCGGCGGAAAATATATATGGGAGCTATATCCAAATCTGAACCGATTTTAATATAATTTGACTAATTATTTTCTAATCAAAATCCCGATACATATTCCAAATTTCTTTGGAATCCAACATACATATCGTGTATGGTGCATAAAATACATGAAATCGGTCGAAAATATATATGAGAGCTATATCCAAATCGGAACGATTTTAATATAATTTGATAAATGTATATTTGTTTTAATTTCCGCTACACATTCCAAATTTCATTGAAATTAGAGATACATAGCGTGTTTGGTGCATCAAATACATGAAATCGGTCGAAAATATATATGGGAGCTATATCCAAATCTGAACCGATTTCAATTTTGTTTGACCAATTCATTTTGGCTCCCAATTCCGTTACTTATTTTAAATTTCATTACAATTGGAAATACATGTCGTGTTTGGTCCACCAAATACATGAAATCGGCCGAAAATGTATATGGGAGTGTTTGGGATTTTTTTTCCCCAAACTAAAAATACACTGCAAACCCTACATACAATTATTTTCCTCCTCAAGAGTTTGTTGAACTCTTTTCTATTCCCTTTTCTATTATTATTTGTTTACGCGAAACCAAACCTAACGGTCCCTTATGTAGGTACAGACGATCATACGAGTATGTATGTATGTACATATGTACATAGCTACCTAACAACGGCCGTCGGTCATCTCGCTGCTGCTGCTATTGCGTTTTCGTTTTGTTTGGTCGCAGCAAAAATTTGTCAGTTGCCTTTTGTACATCTGCCTGAAGCAGATCATAATTATTGAAGAAAAAGAATAGAATATTTTAATAAAAATTTTGATCATGAAGATCTCAATTTAAATAAAAAAAAAATTAAAGTGTTTTACTATTCTGACCATGGGGGTCAGAATACAGTAGCAACAAAAACAAAATTCTCCTACATTTAAATGGTGCCGAAACCCGGGATTTGTCGATGTGCTGACAAATGCCACATATTGTGAAAAAAGCAAAACTACTGCCGTCTTGCCTACGGTAAATTGCAAAAAAAGAGAAACTACTGCCGTCTTGCCTACGGTAAATTGTGAAAAAAAAAAAAAAAAAAAACAAAATTACTGCCGTCTTGTCTGCGGTACATATCATCAACGTACAGTCTGTACTACGTGTTGCTGACAAATTTCGAGCTAAATTTAAAGCAACATGTCATCCGAAGCAGCTATTGAAGACCAGAGGAGGATCTTCCACCACATCGAACGTGTGGCCAGAGCCTTCGAGGCCAAACCTAAAATACAATTTCCAAAGGTTATGTACAAACCATTCTTGAAGATTTGGAGAATAATTTCAAAACATTCAAAGATGGACACGATCAAATCATGGAGATTCTACGTGAGGAATCTATACCGGAAAACGAAGTGCCTTACATAAGTGGTGATACTACTACAAGTGCTATGACTCGTATATTACATTGAAAACTAATTTACTTGATACAATTTTTGAATTTGATTCTCCACAGACTCCAACCGTTCACGCAAGTACATTCGCTGGCACAAGCCGGAACGAATCCTTTTGTGCAGGAGCTAGGCTTCCAAAAATTGATTTGCCATCCTTTTCAGGGGATTATATCGACTGGATTTCATATAGGGATATGTTCAAATCGCTCGTACATCAAAATAATTCCCTCACGAAGGTGCAAAAATATTTTTACTTAAAAAGTTCGTGTACTGGTACTCCATTGAGTATGGTAAATGAATATCCTGCTGCAGAAACGAGTTATGATTTGGCATGGGATGCTCTGGAGAAGAGATTCCATAACGAACGGAAATTAGTAGAGCAGATTTTAAAGCGATTTTTTTTCTATTCCAAACACCGATGGAACATTCAAAAGCATAAAGGTGTTGCTCGATACTACGAGAATCTGTCTGTCTCAATTAAAGACTTTGGGAATTGATACGTCCACCTGGAACTCAATACTGATCTACGTGATTTCGCAAAAATTGGACATACAGACCCGCAAGGAATGGGAGCAGTCACTAAAAGCGAGTACGTCTATTCCAACAATGGCGGAAATGTTAATATTTTTGGAAACAACTTTTCGTACTCTGGAGTCAATAGAAGAAGAAGCAGTCTCCACCACGCCACACGCTATCAACAGAGAAACGCGAAGAAAGCCAACGAAATTTGTACGAGCTCACACTATTTCTACAGTAAATGACGACAACTGCCCCTGCTGCCATAAACGTCATCCGCTATACAAATGCTTTCGATTTACAAATTTGCCTTCGACGGAAAAGAAGAATTTTGTAAATCAGCATCGTCTCTGCCGAAATTGTCTAAACTCTGGACACATGCAATTCGCTTGCAAACACACTACCAGATGTCACATCTGTCGTGAATCTCATCATACCATATTACACAATGAGTTCTCGAAGAATAGTTCGCCCCCTGCGGAATTAGCCAATACCACGGTAAATCAAACATTCCAGCCACCAGAAATACATCCACTCCAGAAACTGCAACTGTAAGTACGCACATTACAAACCTAAGTACTAGGAACTTGAATCCTGCTTTGCTGCCCACTGTGCAACTGATAATAAAACTCAAAATCGGAATTTGAAAGTGAAAGCTTTGGTCGATCAGGGGTCTCAACTTTCCTTCATTTCTGAGGAACTTTCCCAAGTGCTACCATTTCCAAAACATAAAACTCGAATTACGTTTCTGGTATTGGAGGACATCGAGCTTTAACAGTAAGAAGTCTACAAGATTCATTCTACATTCTAACTACAAAAAAGAATTTGAACTACCTATTACGGCTTTAGTGGTTCCGAGCGTTACGTCGTACATACCTACGAAAATAACACCCCTCTGTATTCCAGATCTCTCAGATTTCTTCCTTGCAGATCCAGACTTCCTCTTCCCGCAGAAGATTGAGATCCTACTTGGAAATGATGTATATGGTGACCTCCTTCTATCTGGTATGAAGAAATTTGAAAACAGTTTCTTATTGCAAGAAACACAGTTTGGATGGATGATATCAGGGTCCCCAAGGTCACAAACGATCGCAACAAGAATTTCAGCAAATGTGTGCTCTTTAGATGAGCAGCTCCGTATGTTCTGGGAACAAGAAGAACTTTTGGATATAAAACCGCAAACTAATGAAGAAGAACTCTGCGAGAAATTGTTTGCTGATACACACTCACGTGATGAAACTGGTCGATACACGGTCCACCTTCCATTCAAAAGGTTACTACAAGGTCAAGAGCTACCTACATTTACCCACACGGACTATAACGCAATGAAACGATTGAAGCAGTTGGAATCATCGTTTCAACAGAAAATCCAATTTGCCGATGAATACCGAAAGTTTATGTTGGAATACGAAACACTTCAGCACATGGTTAAGCTTGGTGAGTATCCTCACTCAATACCACACAATGCATATTTCTTTCCACATCACGGTGTACTCAGAGAGAGTAGTACAACAACTAAACTTCGTGTTGTTTTTGATGGTGGAAATCGGAGACCACCACAAACTTCGATAAATGACGAATTATCAGCTGGTCCTGCTTTACAAAATGATTTGTCTACAATCATCATACGATGGCGAAGACATTGCATTGGGTTTACTGCCGATTTGGAGAAGATGTTTAGGCAAATAAATGTCTGTCCAGAACATCAGCCATTCCAATGTATTCTCTGGAGAGATGCCACTGGAAAAATTTGTGTTTACACTCTTCGAACAGTCACCTATGGTACTACGTCCGCCCCTACTTGGCTATAAGGGTACTCCAACAACTCGCAGCAGATGAAGAAACACGCTTTCCAGAAGCCAGTCAAATTCTACGCGAAGATACATATGTCGATGACGTCATATCTGGGACGGGACAATCCACACGAAGCTTTACAGCTACAAAATCAGCTTTCGAATCTATTGAAATCAGGAGGCTTTCATTTAAGGAAATGGAATTCGAATTGCCCTGAACTAATGGAGCGTATTCCTGAGGAAGATCGTGAAATAAATAATTTATTTCCGATTCAAAACCGAAAATGTCCAAAGCACTTGGTATAAATTGGGATACCAATCAAGATGCATTTTGTTTCTCGATAAATTTCAAATTTTCTCATCCTATAACTAAAAGCAGTCTACTTTCAGATGCCTCTAGCTGTTTGATCCCCTAGGATGGATCAGCGCTACGACCATTACAGCCAAAATTATATTTCAACAGCTCTGGAAACTCAAGCTTGACTGGAATGACCTTCTGCCAGAAGAAATTCAACATCAATGGATTCACTTCAGAGAAAAGCTGAAATCTCTGGAAGAGATTCGAATCCCACGATGGATTGGTTACCGACCAACATCCACAGTTGAACTACATGGCTTCAGCGATGCTTCTAGATTAGCATATGCAGCTGTCGTATATGCCAGAATTATAACGGAATCCGGTGAGATATTAATAAACTTACTACAAGCCAAAACCAAAGTCGTTCCCCTGAAAAGTGAAACAATCCCTCGTCTGGAATTAACTGCAGCAACTCTACTAGCAAAATTAGTTGCTAAAATAAAAGCCAGCGTAGAATTCAACATTAGCAGCATCGTATACTGGACGGATAGCACTATCGTTCTTGCGTGGCTAAAAAATAATTCAACACGGTTGGAAGTCTACGTGGCAAATCGAGTAGCACAAATACAACGTATTTCGAACGTTAATAATTGGAAGTATGTTCCCACAAAGGAAAACCCAGCTGACTGCGCGTCCAGGGGTTTACTTCCAGAACAATTAGTTCGTCACACGCTTTGGTGGAAAGGCCCACCTTGGCTCCAAAATACTTCCGATACATGGCCAACTTTCCCCAATGAAGTTTACTGTGAAGAAATCAATAACAATTATGCTGTATCTTTCCACACAAAAACAACAAGTCTACAATATCCCGAAATCACACTTAAATACTCAAAACTGTCAACTATGATACGAGTGACGTCATATATTCTACGATTTTATAACAACGTAAAACAAAAATCCAAAGTAAGCAGAGAGAATGGATTTTTGAAAACTTCTGAGTTACAACGAGCATTACAATTACTCATAAAACAAACACAGGCCGTGTGTTTTCAAGAAGAAATTCGCTGCCTTACACAAGGAATGAGGGTTCCTAACCAAAGCAGTATTGCAAAATTATCACCGTTCTTAGATGAAAAGAACATTCTACGAGTTGGCGGTAGATTGTCAAATGCATCTATACCCTACAACACTAAACACCCGATTTTGCTATCGAAGCAAAATCCTCTTTCTTTTCTTCTATTTTCAGAAGCACATATGAAAACATTTCATGGTAGCCTCCAGCTAATGCAGTCCTATGTGTCTCGTGCCTACTGGGTTGTTTCTGCTAGAAACATAGCAAAACGTGTCCAACGCCAGTGTGTCGTCTGCTTTAAGTATAAAGCTCAAATATGTCAACAACTAATGGGCAACCTGCCCTCTGTGCGTCTACACCCAACCAGGGCATTTAAACATAGTGGACTAGACTATGCCGGCCCAATTAATATAAAAACATCGTCACTTAGGACAGCATCAACCACAAAGGGCTACATCTGTCTTTTATCTGCATGTGTACCAAAGCGATACACTTGGAAGCAGTGACAAGTCTAAACGTCGATTCATTTCTAGCCGCATTCAGGCGCTTTATCTCTCGAAGAGGTTTATGCAGCGATCTTTATTCCGACTGTGGAACAAATTTCGTGGGTGCCAACAAGGAACTTCAAGTCCTCTATCAACGTAATAAATCGTCACTGCCCGAGCATCTTGTAGAAACGCTCGCAAATCAAGGCACTACCTGGCACTTCATTCCCCCCGCTTCACCCCACTTCGGAGGTTTATGGGAAGCAGGAGTGAAGTCAACAAAACATCATCTGCGCCGCATAATGAGAGACCGCATACTTACCTACGAGGAACTCAGCACACTTTTGGCGCAAATTGAAAGTTGCCTGAATTCTAGGCCTTTATGCCCACTGTCAGCAGACCCCGCTGACTCCGATGCCCTCACACCGGCTCATTTTCTAATTGGTGAGGCCACCAATTGCATTCCCGAAGAAGACTTGCTTTCTGTGAGCATTGACCGCTTGAGTAGATGGAAATTGGTCGAACGCCTCAAGCAAAACTTTTGGGATCGCTGGAATAGAGAATATTTGTGTCGCCTTCAATCACGTCCAAAATGGAATAAAATGGAACGAAACATCAGAGTAGGCGATATAGTTCTCCTCCTACACGAACGAAGCATTCCGGGTCAATGGCCGCTTGCAAAAGTTGAACAACTTCACCCTGGTAATGACGACTTGGTACGAGTTGTCACACTGTATTGTAATGGCAAATACATCAAACGCCCTATCTCCAAAGTATGCCTCCTGCCATCAGATGAAGTTCTACCTAAAGAAGAGAAAATTCTAACAACATAAGAACAGTCGTTCTTGGCGCGGGAGAATGTTTGGGATTTTTTTTCCCCAAACTAAAAATACACTGCAAACCCTACATACAATTATTTTCCTCCTCAAGAGTTTGTTGAACTCTTTTCTATTCCCTTTTCTATTATTATTTGTTTACGCGAAACCAAACCTAACGGTCCCTTATGTAGGTACAGACGATCATACGAGTATGTATGTATGTACATATGTACATAGCTACCTAACAACGGCCGTCGGTCATCTCGCTGCTGCTGCTATTGCGTTTTCGTTTTGTTTGGTCGCAGCAAAAATTTGTCAGTTGCCTTTTGTACATCTGCCTGAAGCAGATCATAATTATTGAAGAAAAAGAATAGAATATTTAATAAAAATTTTGATCATGAAGATCTCAATTTAAATAAAAAAAAAATTAAAGTGTTTTACTATTCTGACCATGGGGGTCAGAATACAGTAGCAACAAAAACAAAATTCTCCTACAGGGAGCTATATCCAAATCTGAACCGATTTCAATATAATTTGGGAAATCAATTTTTTAGATAAAATCTATCACACGTTTCAAATTTCATTGAAATTGGGGATACATAGCGTGTTTGGTGCATGAAATCGGCCGAAAATATGCATGGGAGCTATATCCAAATCTGAAACGATTTCAATATAGTTTGACAAATTTATTTTCGGATTAAATCCCGTCACACAATCCAAATTTCAAAGGCATCGAACGTTCATATTGTGTTTGAGGCATCAAATAAACAAAATCGGTCGAAAATATATATGGGAGCTATATCCTAATCTGAACCGATTACAATATAATTTGGCAAACTTATTTTTGTTCCAAATTCCGTTACGTATTCCAAATTTGGAGACTGTATCTTCAACCAATCAATAGATATGTGCATATAAAATCTAAATTTTTGGAAGGTATCTCCGATTCTGATGCTATATCTCCAGTTCCAAGTGGAAATTCAAAAATGTATATAGCCTATTTACTTTCAGGCGATGTTGCAGTATATATGGAATTTTCAGGAAAATCTATTCAGCGGTTTTCGAGTCCATAAATTACAAACAAACAAACAAACATACAAACATTTTCCTCTTTATAGATATAGATATAGATTATATATATATTATTATATTATATTATTAATTATATTATTATATTATATTATATTATATATATTATATTATATTATATTATATTATATTATATTATATATATTATTATTTATATTATAATTATATAGATTTATTATATATATTAATTATATTATATTATATTATATTATATTATATTATATTAGTATTATTTATATTATATTATATTATCTATATTATATTATATATATTATATTATATATATTATATTATATTATATATATATTATTATATTATATTATAGTTATATTATATTATATTATATTATTATATTAATTATATTATATATATTATATTATATTATATTATATAATTATATTATATATATTATATTATTATTATATTATATTATATTATTTATTTATTATATTATATTATATTTATATTATATTATATATATTATATTATATTATATTATATTATATTATATATATTAATTATATTATATTTATTATATTATATTATATTAGATTATATTATATTATATTATATTATATTATATTTATGATTATTATATATATTATATTTATATATATTATATGTATATTATATTATATTATATTATATATATATTATATTATATTATATTATATTATATTATATGATATTATATTATATTATATTAATTATATTATATTATGTATATTATATTATTTATATTATAATTATTATATTAATTATATTATATTATATTATATTAGATTTATTAGTTATATTTATATTATATTATCTATATTATATTATATTAATATTATATTATATTATTTATATATATTATATTATATTTATATATATATATATATATTATATTATATTATATTATATTTATTATATTATATTATATTATATTATATTATATTATATTATATTATATTATATTATATTTATTATATTATATTATATTATAGATAATTATATTATATTATATTTATAATATATTAATTATATATATAGATTATATTATATTATATTATATTAATTATATATATTATATATATATTATATTATATTATATGTATTATATTATATTATATTATATTATATTATTATATTATATTATAGTATATTATATTAATTATATTATATTATATTATATTATATTTATTATATTATATATATTATATTATATTATATTATATTATATTATATTATATTATATTATATTATATTATATTATATTATATTATATTATATTATATTATATATATTATATTATATTATATTATATTATATTATATTATATTATATTATATTATATTATATTATATTATATTATATTATATTATATTATATTATATTATATTATATTATATTATATTATATTATATTATATTATATTCTATTATATTATATTATATTATATTATATATATTAATAATTATATTATATTATATTATATTATATTATATTATATTATATTATATTATATTATTATATTATTATTATATTATATTTATTATATTATATTATATTATATTATATTATATTATATTATATATATTATATTATATTATATTATATTATATATATTATATTATATTATATTATTATATATATTATATTTATATTATATTATATATACTAGCTGGCCGGTCCGCGTTGCCGGCCCGTAGTTTAGTCTTTAAAGCATCAGTATTTTCAGCCAGAGGTTTTAATTTGAGAGTTTAAACCTAAATAATAGATCACATGTATTAAAAGTATACATTAACTGTTTTTTAATAGCCCATCTACCCCCAAATTAGCCTAAACACACATTTTAGCCAAATCGATTCAAAAATATAATCAAAAAAATTTCCGCGAAGAGGAGGTCGAAGAAGGGTAAAATCAATTGAAAAATGGAACCAAGACGCCGGAAATCAGCGGATACCTTCATATAAGGGTTATACCAAAGCATGGTCCTATTCTTACAATTATTTGAAAGAATGTGTTGTTCTTCCTAATATCTCAAATTACCAACATTTTAGGAATTTGAAAGGGGCTACATCATTTGAGGGACTACACCAATTTAGATCGATCTGATACATACAAATGATTCTTCATGGAACCCCTAGCACTGTATCAAATTTAAATCTCTATCGTAACTTTTGCTAAGTATAGAGCAAAATATTTGAAGCCCTTTGTGTTTGGTTAAGCTATATAAAATGGACCCTAAAAACGTTTGACCTGAAACCCCTTTTTGGGATTTTTATCTATCAACCAAACAATTTTCCAAGTGTAATTTCCCGCAGTGTAATTACTGACGGAAGCGCATAGTCACCGTATAGCGTTACATGTGAGTTAAGGTTACTTTTAAGGTTTCGGAAGAATTTTCCGAGGATATGAATCCTTTTCTTTCTAAATTTTCAATTCGCTCTACTATTGTGTATAGTCCGCATATTAGAGTGCCTCTTCATATTCGGTATTTCACTGATTGAAGTCCCAATGAATTTTGCATTTTGAGTTCTCATTGGATGGATTTTTTCTTCGGTGGGGAGAGTAAGGACTTTAGATAAATCGAAAAAATGGGTGCAAAATTGGGCGTGGTCTCTTTTTCCTGCATAAAAACATAAATCGGTGTAGAACGAACATTTAAAAAAAAACATCCAAATAGTTCCTGCCGGCCTCAACTGATTCAATTACCAACGAACAACAATTTCTTTATATATACATACAAAAGTAGGCGTGGTCAGTTCCTCAGCCACCAAATAAACACTTAGGATTAGAGGGAAAGTCTACAGTATGTGGTGTAATAATTTTAAAACCGATATCTTCATTATTTGGCAAATATAAGGATTCTAGATAATCGAAATAGTGGGCGTGGTCAATATTTTTCCTTTAAAACCTAACTCGGGGTATGACGAACGTTTGTACAAAAATTATGCCCAGTCCGCGTTGCCGGCCCGTAGTTTTTGTCTATTATGCATATTTGTCAAAGTATAATTATTCACAGATATGACTGATATAAGTGTTCACATGCTGGTCGATTAAAATTGTTTTAAAATACCTGTACCCACATTTAAGCCGTGGGCTTCAATATTTAAACCGTGGGCTTAAAATGTGTGGATGTAATTTACAAATCTATTAAAAAGTATAAATCAATCTTATCCCCATGTAAGGGATCAAATTAATTGTTAGTATGGTAAAAATCGTAGCAAAATTTTCCAGTCAAATGAGCAGTAATTTGGAAATTACTGTATTTTGTATACCTCATAATTGAGGGCTGAATGATTTAAGAATAGTCAAAGTTAATTACTTTTTAAGCCCATTAGCACCTTAGATTGTGCATTAGAGTCCTCATAAGTCCCCCTAACCATGTCGGTCTGTTTGTCCGCCAAAAGGTGGACTTGAGGGGGTACTATTACATGGAGAAAATTCTAAAATTTGCAGATATGTTGAAATTTTTGTGTAATATTTCACCCCCTCAAATACACATTTTTAGCCAAATCCTTTGAAATATGGTAAAATCAGGAGGTACCTTTATATGGACACCACTTTGAAACATCGACCTACATTGAAAACTTTCTTCTACCCCTAATAATCCAAGATGAAAAAAATCGCGTGATTTAAATAAGTAAAAATAATTTATCCACCTCATAATTGTGGGCAGAATGATTTCAGAATAGTCAAATATAATTACTAATTTACACTCATTACCGTAAGATGGGAATTAATTTTATTTGCCGTTTAAATTGTAAGTTGGAGACCCCATAAATTCCAAATTTTTCATCATAGTAGAATTCAATGACGATTCAACAAATATTCGGTCCCTTGCCTTTTTCTTATATTTGTAATTTGTTCATGTTTTCATAATTTATTTCATATAGGTGTACATCCCAAAGGTATCTTGAATGTTTGGAAAGAAATTCCGGAAGGATAGAAATTCTTTTCTTACTAAAAGTTCCATTCGCTCTACTATTTTGCACCCTTTATATTTGGTATTTTACTGATTGTACTCCCAAAGAATTTTGCATTTTGAGCTCTCGTTGGACGGATTATTGTCACATGAAAGAAGTAGGTCCACGCTTTGAAATGAGCCCTATTAGGCTGTTTCGGTCATTTTGTTTGTTTAAATGTGTTCGCATCTTCCAGCTGAACCACGATGTAGGCCCTGGAGTTGAAAGGTAGATCTCAGTTATCATCGTATTTCGAAAAAGTAATTATCTTTTAACTTTGGTGCGACCGCGTTAAATTATTTCGATATCAT